CCTGATTGTCGAGTGTCAAAGGAGGAATGGTGTCTCCCAACTTCGTTAGACCTCCTTGCAGAGTAAGCAGGACGGGAGGTAGTAGACCGCTGCGAGTGAGCATGTTCTTCCCTAGAGTGGGAACCAGAGTTCCTTGACAAGGTTGTTGACCCTATATGTTGATCTTGTCTCCTTCTATGTTCTTCCAGGCTTCTCAGTGTATTTTGTTGACTGATTCCCAAATCTTGGGTAGAGACTTTTGCTGTTGTTGGTTTAGTAGGGCAATCATCAACCTCATGGAAGAGGGAATAGCAGTAAAAGCAATGCTTTTGTAAGTTCTCATACTCCAGGTCGACATTGAGCACATCCCCAGCTGGTAACTCAATAGGAAGTTGCATTTCCAAGTTGTTGAGACAATCCACATCAATGCGGATTCTTCCTTGCGGGACGTCTTCATCGAGGCGGGGGCCTAGAGCCTTTCCTATCGCGTGCAGGGTCTCAAGAGTCCAGAAATGGAGATGTAGCCCATGGATATTAATCCAGAAATGAGTGCGCTTAGGGAACGAGGTGGAGACCACTGGCTCCCATCTCTGCAAAATAATCATCCATCTCTTGTAGTGATAAGGAGCGCGTCGCATCACCGAGAGGAGAGCTTCCTCCGTTTCAAATTTAGCCTGGAACAGATCAGGTCCGAGGGTTCTTCCTGTGACAGCAGTTTCGAGATTCCAGACTTGGATGAGCCAGTCCAGAGCCCACTGAGGTTTTTGTTTTGTTGGGTTTGTTACCCTGCCTAAGAGAGTGAGCTTGTTGTCTTCAATGAGCTCAGCGTTGTTGCTGAGAGGGATGCGCACCGGAGTTCTTCTTCCTTGAGGAGCAGATCTGAGAGAAGCTTGTGATGTGGATCTGGAAGCTCCTTCCACCCATTTTCCTTTTTCCGATCTTGAGTAGCGGTTTGCCATTGTAACGTATTCCTTCGAAGAGCTTTCTATTTTTATTTTTTTTTGTGAAAACCCTCAATCCAGAGGTACAAAGAAGATGTGGGAACGTAGGTGGTTGAGAGCGTCTAAACGGGTCTCTGACAGGGAGTAAAGGTCCTCAGAGTCGAGGAAGAGAGATGCAGGAAGCTTCAGGTTTTTGAAATTTCGACACTACCAACTTGTAGATCTACAGCCATATACCCATCATACGCCATTTTCTTCACCATAGAGCGAAAGTCCTTCCCGAGGCGAACCAGTCCGACCCAAAAGAATTCTCGCCAGAAAAAATTGCGGTGGTTTCCGGTGTCAAACTACGGTGGCATCGGAGCTGTGAGCGGCGGAGCTTGGTCAGAACTTGGTAGAGAAACTATCCTCGAGAGAAGTGCCTGAGAGAATTTTAAGAAGCACGTGCATCTCACATATAAAGCACCAAATTGTGTTAGCTTATAAGTTATTTATAGGGGATGTTGTAACATGGTTATATCACATTATATGCCAATGTTATTCATTTATTTCTCTCTATCAAACATGGACATTTGGCTTCCAATGCTTATATATATATATATAAACTATTCATAATCGTTTTGATATATATAATTTTCATCAATAAAATTTACTATTAACTCTATATTTATGTATATATGCGTGTCTGTGTGTGTGTATATGAATCACTCATCATCGTTTGATCTATATAATTGTTATTATTATATTTTTAACTTTTCTTTATTCATCTTCTTTCCTTCTTCTCCTTTAATTAATTTTCAGCATTGATATTTATCACCAACTCTTTTTTTGGTCAAAACCATAATATAGTTGGTTCACGTAATGTAAAACGTGCATTTATAGTGATGTTCATGTTGAACTGTATGTACGACAAGACGAGACACAAAACGGACGAATATAATGGTTACATATATAACCAGTATATGGTTAAGAATTCATAAAATTCGGGGCATTATATGAGAGTGTCTGTAGTGTAACACGTCATGGATGAGAGAAAGGGGGCTATGTGTAAAGCAAATAAAAAATCCGGGGCAAATATAAAGAAAATATAAAGTGAGGTATAGAAAATAAAATAAAGAAAAGACAGAGGAAAGAGGCATCAGTGGAGCTGCAAAGGCAGTGAGACAATCATTGCTGGTGAATGTGGATGGGAGCCCACTTTTTCTTTTAATGATTTATTTTCCCATTTTTTATACATTTTTTTTTTATATTTTCTCTCTCCAATTTGCATTACATACTCAAGTGCAGCTCTTTTATATACATGAGTGAGTAGTAGTATAACACTACTAGAGAGAGTATTTTAGAGCATCTTCGACCTATAACACTATTTTGTGTTAAACCTACATTATTTTGTGTTAAACCTACACTATTTTAGTATAATGTCAACATTAAAAATAATTTTATCTCCAACCACAACACTAAATTTAACACTAAAAACTATTCTTTTTGTTTCAAAATGTTTTAATGTTTTATCATTTTCACACTTATTAAAATTTATTAAGTTTAAGATATCAATATATTATTTTTTATAATTAACTATTCCCTATAATTTTTAACCAATAAAATTTTAAGAAATACAATTATGTTTTTTGAAGTGTACACTTTACCACTAATAAATGCATTAACAGACAGAATATTTTCTAATATTATATGTATTTATATTTATATTTATCATTTATTTAATTATGTAATTTATTAATAAAATAAATGAATAGTATTTTAGTGAGATGAATAGTGTTTTAGTGTGGTGAATAGTATCACACCAAATTTGATGTAAAATTATAGTGTTGCATTAAAATAGTGTAAAATTTAATGTTGAATTAGAGAAAATTTTTGTTTTAAAATCACAATAAAATCGAGTTTTAGTGTTGTATTGGAGATAATCTTATGAATTATCTTTATCTTTCTATTAGTTCGTCATCTTATGTGCTAGTTTTTAACAAAAAGCGCTAACTATTGATGTTCTTTTAGTTCCTCAAATTCTACTAATAAAACTGTATTATCTTTATCTTTCTATTAGTTTGCCATCTTATGTTTAAGCTTTTAACAGAAACGTTTAGAATTTTGTTAAACTAACTTTATGTTTCCATTATAAAGTATTTGAAAACTAACAGAAAAATATTGTACCCAATATTGTTTTGTTCATTATATTTAATTTCAATGATTTAGTTATTTAAACTGTTCTAAATTAATTATGTTGTTGCAAAAAGCTAACTAACAGAGAAGGAATATTTTGTGTAACCAGTGAACAATGATATAATTTTTCTCATTCAACATTAACACGTATCAAAAATTAATGAAATGTAGAATTACATTGTAAAATTCTCGTAAATACCTTAATTTTATATAATGAAGTAAAACTTCTGTATTTTTCCAACGCTATAGTGAATCTAGTGAGTTTCATGTGAAAGAAATGCTAGCAATTCTTGAGATCTTTTTTGTTACTGGAAGGTGATGTTTGAAATAGGGTTCGTGATACACGGTAAAAAGGATTCAATCGAAAGATGTAAAAGGGGAAATAAATGAAAATTTGAGAAAAGATTAAATAATTTGACTTGACTAGATGTGGGATCCAATGATGCTATGGTCATTGTCTTTAGAGAGTGAATGATGCAGAGGGCACGCACGTGGAGTCTGTTTCAGCCCCACTGTCAATCTATTATTTATTTCTTTATATTTGCTCTCATTTCTTTTCCTTACTATTTTCATTTTATTACAAATAACTATTTTCAACTTTAAAAGTATTTTAGACAGATGGGTAGATTTATTATAAAACCGAAACCTTGGTCATCCTGAAATGTCCCACGAGACCATTAAACTATTCTTGTCATCCTTACATTTATATCACCACATGTAAAATATAGGTATATATATATATATGTTACATATATGTCAGTGGAGAAAATGACTGAAAGATTTAATGAGGGATTAATGAGTTTATTATTCATACAATCTTGTGATCATTATCTCTGAATTGTAGTTGTTAATATTTGACATGAATTCTGGGTTTTATAAACACGGAATTTAAAGGGTAATTAAGTTTATAAACTCCCATGTAGATTATATAACGTAAGCAAAAGGTATGTATAAGATGAACCGTCTATATGTTGAATAATGGTCACATAAGAAATGAAACTTCTTCATCACTACTTATAAAATTTCACTAAAATAAAAGTAAACTGTTTTGTCCACATCAGAGTGCTAAAATAATTTTCTAAATATAGTGCTACATCTTTAACGACACTTGTATGTCAATGGGATAACACCAATGGTGGAAACAAAGCAGAAGCAATACAGATTTGCTTCTATATATATAGCTCTATACTTGGATTTCCTTTGGGTATAACTATATGGTCTTTATAGATTTATTTTTTGTGAAAATATATGGTCTTACAGATAATAATATTAAACTCCAAACTCATTCAAAGACGCATACATAAAAGAAAAACTATAGTATATGTTTCATAAAAAAAGGCACTTGGATTCTATCATGTGGATCTCGTGATCTACCATAGAGGTAATCACTGTCAATAATAATTCCATCAATTTATTATTTCGTACATGTAACTTCTGAGTTCTTGTTCTGAATCGCTGAATTTTTCGCTAACTGTGCAGTTAGCCTCGCGATCGATTGGAAGTTAATAGGAACGACAAAAACTGACGTAACTTTTTTAATTATTGAAAAGAACAAAAATAGAGTGTTCAAGTAGGGTTGTATTATTATGAAATCTATGTATCAAATGCAATAAATACGACTTCCTTTTATTTCATTCATCTCGATCACTGTAAAATAAAAACTTTACTTATCGAATAACTGTACAGAAGGAAACATACGTAACCTATCTTTTATTTCCACAAATGACGAAAAAATCTAACAAGGAATAGTTTAAGATGTAAACAAAATTCCAAATATAAAAACACAAAGATATAAAGCAAAGAAGAAAATAAAGTCCATGCTTTCATATTCATTGCTTTAACCTTCTCTCTATCTTCCCTCACTCAGACATACAAACACAGCTAAGCTTTCCATCTGAAAGTAGTTTCATGTCCTTAAGGACCATAACATCTCTCTCTCTCCATAGCAACAAAAACAAAGAAGACAGAGAGAGAAAGAAACTATGGCTCACATAAATATATAACAGAGACAGTAGTCCCACTTCCCCCACCACAACCCATCTTCGATCATCATCAATGGATCCGGATCATAACGAGAATCATCATCATCATCATCACAGACCAAACTTCCCTCTCCAGCTTCTTGATTCTTCTTCCTCCTCTTCCACTTCCTTAGCCATCATCCCATCAGCTTCTTCCTCCGAACCTAACTCCGACCCTAACGCTCTCTCCAAGAAACCACCTCCCAAGCGAACCTCAACAAAGGACAGACACACCAAAGTCGAAGGCCGAGGCCGTAGGATCCGCATGCCTGCCATGTGCGCCGCACGTGTCTTTCAGCTCACACGTGAGCTAGGTCATAAATCCGACGGTGAAACCATCGAGTGGCTTCTACAGCAAGCTGAACCGGCGGTTATAGCCGCTACGGGGACTGGAACCATACCGGCTAACTTCACTTCTCTTAATATCTCACTTCGTAGCTCAAGATCTTCCCGCTCCGCTGCTCATCTTCGTACAACTCCGAGCAGCTATTACTTTCATTCGCCTACGATGGCTCAGCATCATCAGCATCAGGTGCGTCCCAAGAACGAGTCACATTCTTCTTCTTCTTCTCAACAGCTCTTAGATCAAAGCCAAATGGGAAACTATTTAGTTCAATCAACGGCTGGATCTTTACCTACGAGTCAAACTCCTGCCACGGCGCCGTTTTGGAGCAGTGGTGATAATAATACGCAGAACCTATGGGCTTTTAATATCAACCCTCATCATTCCGCTGACGTTTACAACACGAATAGTGGTGGTGGTAGCGGAGGAGGAGGAGGAGGAGCAGGAGTACATCTCATGAACTTTGCAGCTCCTATTGCTTTGTTTTCCGGACAGCCTTTGGCGTCTGGTTACGGAGGTGGAGGTGGAGAACATAGCCATTATGGAGTTTTAGCGGCGTTGAATGGTGCATACCGGCCGGTTCAGGAGACGGCGAACCAGCAAAACCGAGAGGGAGATCATCATCACAGCCATCAAGAAGATGGAAGCACAAGTCATCATTCCTAGACAAAAAACAACACACAAACAATATATATGTGAGATTTATTCTTATTTTTCTTTTTTTCTTTTGTTTGATTGGTTTTTAAATTCTAGTATTCCACGAGTTCTGATTCCGTTTCATTCTTCTTTTGATTAATGTATTAAGTACGTACGAACGTGATTACTCGATATATTTTAGTATGTGGTTTTGTAATTTGGTTTGGTTTTGTCTTTTTTTTAGAGTTTCAGGGGTAGTATTTTTCATTTGGAATGTTTTCTCTACACTCTTGCGTGTGAAGAGGTTTCTAATGAGACATAATACTTGATTAGGGTTTTTGAACAATTGTTTATATATGTATTAGTACTGTTAATCAATAAAACATTTCCCACGCCAAATTATGAGATATATCCACTTTCTTTGTTCATGGTTTGATTCCCTCGACCACATTGCCTCAGAGATCGAGGTACATATGTATTATGAGTTATTCTTGTTCTATCTCTATTTAATCGACTATATATATTTTTGATGTGGATCAAATCTTAAATATGCTCAATATTGACTGGTCTATTTATGTTTGATGGTATCTATACCAAGATATTGTTGATATATATTGTAGAAAAGTCATATATACTTCCAGCTTTAAAATGTGATTGTTTGGTTATTACAAGTGTGTTGATGAGGATGTATTTAGATATGTGCCAATAGGTCTTTCTATGAGCAGGGCATGGGATACGTTTTTTAATTTATTTTCATAGCATTTGCAACATAATTAAGTAGGAATTAATTTGGAGCGTAAGATACAGCCATACAGGATAACAGGAAGGCGAAATTTTTTAAACTCTTTATAGATCCATATTGCCAGAGAAGGTAAGTCTGGTTCTACATCAACGGTTATTTTTGTTATATGGAAATGTATTAATATGTCAAAGATTGTGAATTTTCAGGCACCCAAAAAAAAACACCAAGAATACTTCATTATCTGCTGAAAATTTAATCCATCAAATATTGAAAACGATGTTTGCTAAAACGAAACTTCATATGATATATAATAATATATATGTCTAACAAGTAACTTATTAAAACTTTGGATGGTTATAGATTCCAGCTTGATCTTTTATTCTCAAGGTTTTTCGTTGATAAATTAATGAAACCTCGATTATGTTTACCTATCTATAATGGATACATAATAAGTTGATGATGTAAATTAACGGGGATATTATCATTATACAGAATAAATATAAAACAGTATGTAAAATACGTAATAACCATATTGCTGCATCTTGGATCGGCCTATGTTATTATATTTAACTAGTTGCATATTCTCCGCGCAAGTGCGGGACCGAGATCATTATATTTGTGTGTATTTTTTTCGATTGTTGGTTTAGTGGATTCTTCTAATGACACCAATTAATAATGAAATGGAAAATTTCATGTTTTTATATCGTATGTCAAAACTTGATATAATTCTATATTTATAGTATTTATATTTGTATTAAACGATTTATCAATATGAAAATAACCTTAATTAAGTTAATATTCGTTGTTTAAGTTTCATTANATTAAACGATTTATCAATATGAAAATAACCTTAATTAAGTTAATATTCGTTGTTTAAGTTTCATTAGATAGGTTTTTATATATGGTTTTTTGTAAGTTTCGGTTTTGTTCATAAATGATGTGGCATTTTTATCTACGGAGTCATCGACTGTGGGAATTCATTCGCCGAAGTCTGGAGTCGGTGGTGAGAAATGTTTTCATTGAAATTATAGTAGTTATTAAAATGTAAGAAAAATTACATATTCATTTAATAAATAACTTACTTAAATTTTGTTGTTTATTTTATTTTGTTTCACATACAATTCTTTTTGAAAAATATTAGGAATGTGTTAAATATTATTTATATGCGAAGTAAGGTTTATAGGAATAGTTAGGCTATAATATAGTTTTTAGTGTGTAAAAGTAGGTGTGTTTTTTTTTTGCTGTAAATAGTTTTTATATCGTAGATCAAAACTTGATATAATTCTATATTTATAGTATTTATATTTTTATTAAATGATTTATCAATTTGAAAATAACCTTAATTAAGTTAATATTCGTTGTTTAAGTTTCATTAGATAAGCTTTTATATATGGTTTTTGTAAGTTTGAGTTTTGTTCATAAATGATATGGCATTTTTATCTACGGCGTCATCGACTGTGGGAATCCTTTCACCGGAGTCTGGAATCGGTGGTGAGGAATGTTTTCAAGGAAATTATAGTAGTTATTAAAATGTAAGAGAAATTATATATTCATTTAATAATAACGAAAATAATTAATTTTTGTTGTTTTATTTTATTTTATCTCACATACAAATTTTTTGAAAATATATATTAGGAAATAAGTGCAATGATTTAACATTTTGAGCTCCTAATCTATATTATTCAACCCTCATTAAGCCATCTACGTATGCACCCATTTTTTTTTGTTTTTTTTGTCTGTTCGTTTTTGAATTTATTTTTTATTATTTTTGGGTTGAGCTATTTTATAATAGGATATTTTTAAGGTTCTTTAAGTCATCCGCATAGGCAAGCATGTGAGACTTGTTTTTTTTGTTTTTTGTTTTATTATTTGTTTTGGATTCATTTTTAACTATTTTGGGTTTGGACTTATTAAGGTTTAGGGTTTATACAACTATTTTGATCTTTAAAACAATAAGCCCAAAAAAACATAAGAACCTTATAAACAAAAAACCCATATGATAATAACCTAAATAAAAAAAATCAAAAATACATGATAGCTACGTGGTTTGAACCCACAATCTTGCATACTTAATTAGACACCTTATACCACTTGGCTAAAGTGTACTTCATTGTTTGTGACCATCTTACTAAGACTATGTGTGTTTAAAAAATATTTTTATGATGATGACATTAATTGGTTTATGCATGAGAACAGTGGGAATTGAACTCATGTCCTTGGAGACCAAATATGGGATCTTAGACCACTTAGCTAAACTGATATTCTCTGTTTGTAGCCATTTTAAAAACAATATCTATTTTAATATAAAAATATGAGACCTACAATCTGCCTATGTGGATACCTTAAGGAGCTTTTAAACTGAATCATTATAATATAGATTATTACATTTATACGGTCTTACCATGCTCCATGCATGGGTTTACATAAAACGAACGTATAACGAAATGTGTATTTAAAATTATTACAACGAGCATGGGAATTGCCATGTTAGCAATTTTAAAATAATACTGCACATACTCATATATAAAATTAGTATGTTAACAGAAACAAATTATTGTTCTATATAAATAATATAAATATCTTACTTTTAAATATAAAAATAACATTTGAAATTTCTATAGATGGGTGCTAGCCATTCCTGAAATCATAGGCCTGTCGGTTATATAATCTCAAAGCATATATATGATAAGTATTTCTTTTTATAACCGTTAATCTTAAGCATTTTGAAGGAATGTGATTCTAGCTGAGCTCAATAAGATATATATCAGCGGGAGTTTGACGGTATTAACAATAGAAAAGAATATGTAGGCTAGGCACCGATTATCTCATGAATCTTCATTGATATTTGTATTATTATTGTTCACGTATTACTTTATAGATAAACAATAAGATACGAGTCAGGGCCGATCAGTGTTTTTATGTCGCCGTTTTATTCTATAACGAAAAGAAATCTGCAAAAGAAAAAAAAATGGAAAGGTCACAAGGACCAGTATCTGGCATTAGCATATAGGTCCATTATTTAATTTCTCCAAAACATGCTTAAAATATACATATTTGGATCTACGTTGTTATAGAATGTAGAAATAACCTATATTAGTTGTCCAAAAAAAAAAGGAAGAGTGTATTCATGATGTGATATCGATACTTCGTTTTTGATCTGGAAAGATTAGATTGATCATCATTCCATCTCTTACTTCTCTATTTTGTTTAATCAAGCTTCACTAATACACTCATCTTCGTCGCTTTTACAATAGTCCTTTAACATTTACTTTTATGAATTTGTTTTTACAATAATAAAACCCCCTTTTATTCATTCCTTCTAAAAATATTCAGAAATTATACCATTTGCTTAATTATAACTTCCTCTATCCTCAGTGGTCGAAATGAACTATTTAGAAAATATGGGCTTTGTATGGTCTAGTTATTAGATGAAGGACGAGCAAAGGATCGAAACCATACATCANATAACTTCCTCTATCCTCAGTGGTCGAAATGAACTATTTAGAAAATATGGGCTTTGTATGGTCTAGTTATTAGATGAAGGACGAGCAAAGGATCGAAACCATACATCAATTATTGGACATGGATTTAAATAACATGTGGATCCAACTTCACTGGGTACTTGGCTCTGAACATTCTCTTTGTGCTGGTTGCCGCAATTCTTTCAATTTTAGAAGAAAACACCACAACTGCTACAACTGTGGTCTGATATTTTGTAAAAGTATGCATCAGTAGGAAGTTTGTGAGAGCTACTCCTTCACTGCCATCCTCTGTTCTCAAATGTACTCTGCTTTAAGGGGATTATTAATAAATGGTATATCTTGGAAAAAAAGAAAGAAATGGCGGGTCTAAATTAAGGAACAAGTACTTCCCTCAAAAAAAAAAAAAAAAAAAAAGTACTTCCCTCTCATAATATAAGAAGCATGGTCTCTCATAATAGTCAAACAGATAACAACCCAACAAGTAAGAGCTTCAGTAATGGGAATATGCGGCTGTGTGAGAATCCAGAGGAGAGTTGTGCAAGACGAACCAGAAGTGTATTTAAAACTGTTGAATTTACATGGTGCTGGTAATGAACTCAATCGTGTTCGATTCAGGTATTCTTAGTCTTCTTATAATGCTAAGTTTAGCAGAGAATGATCCTAAAGTATACATTTGTCACTTCTACAATATCTACTTGTCCTGTTTCCATGTCTTGGGAGGCTTATATGGACTTGTAATACTAATAAGCAATCAGGAATACATCGCGCGGTTCCTCGTCTGCTAAAAGACTGTTGATCGGTACATCAGAGAGTAGAGACACCATCTTGGGAAAGCGAAAGAAGAAACATATTCATAGACTTATAAAGTGTGGTAGATAAATTAGTAATCGCTATCTATTTAATTAGCATGTTTTGGCCTCACTTTGTTTTATTTTATTTTTGCTAAGGTGAACCCAAAATCTGAAACTCCCCTTTTGTAAAATTTACGAACTCTTTCATTCATATTATATTTATATACTAGGTGTTTTGCCCGTATTTACAAGCATAAACATTTTATAATTATTTTTTAGTACATCTTTTACTAATTGAAAGATTATAATGATAAAGTATTAGTTGTGTTTTATTTTTTGAAAACAATAATATTTATACTTTTATTTAACAATTTTTATATATATTTATTTTTAATTTATGTTTACCTGAAGGAGAACCCCTTATATATTATATTCAAAAAAGTCAAAAAATCAAATGATTACACAGCCCACTTCGCTCCGCTGCTCTGCTCGCTCCGACGATTCTACATACCGGCCGAAAGAGACTGAGCCCGGGCGAAGCCAATCACATTGAGTTGTAGATTGACATAGTTAAGTAGGCGGCATCCCCTCTTAGTTTTGAGTAGGTGGAAGTCACGGCGAGACGAGCCGTTTATCATTACGATAGGTGCAGGAATGCAAGAGGCTTGTCTTTTGTATGTTGATGGCAAGACCCGACATCTGTTTGAACTGATCCAGAATGGAGAGTACACCAGCCACTGAACGGGGAGAACCTTCGGCTCGATTGATTCAATATCGCTGAACTTAGAAAAGCGTCCGAGCGAGCCTCTGGGATCTCCTGTAAACCCCCATGATGCCGGCCAACTAAACTCCTATAAGCCTCTCTATCTGGAAGCAGATCACCATCAGTATTAGAGAGCTTCAGATTTGCTATTATAAATAATTTTAAATCAAATAATATTTTTCAATTATATAAAATAAAGAAGTTGACTTGATCAATATTTACTTATATATTTTATATTCTTTTAATTGTTAACTTTTTATGAAAATATATTTTCAGATAACATCACAACATATATCGAAATTATCTTATTTTACAAAAATATTATTTAGATTTTGGATAATTATTATGATTATTATTAGTTTTAGTTAATTATCTAATCAAAATAATTTAAATTCGTTTTTATTTTGTATGTAATTTATATATTATTTTCATTAAGGGTATAAACGATATTAATCACTCTAACTTTTAATGTGGGAGCTCCGTTGCTATATTGTTAACTTTTTTATCAGAATATATTTTCAGATAACATCACAACATATATCGAAATTATCTTATTTAAAAAATATTATTTAGATTTTGGATAATTCTTATGATTATTATAGCTTTAGTTACTTATCTAATCAAAATAATTTAAATTCTTTTTTATTTTGTATGTAATTTATATATTATTTTCATTAAGGCTATAAACGATATTAACCACTCTAACTTTTAACGTGGGAGCTCCGTTGCGAAAAATCACTTCGCAAATAATAGTATAGATCAGCAAATTCACTTAAATTTTATAATTGAAAATATATTTTTAAGATAACAGTCTAATACAAAAGAATTAGTATATTTTCTAAAATATAATATTATTAACATAATTTTTTTTTATAATAAATTATTAAAACATGAAAATAAACAAAATAACCTAAAATCATGGAGAAGTTGACAACTAAGCAAATTTACTTCTAAAATAATAATTGAAAAATATATTTTTAAGATTACAATCTAATACAAAAGAATTAACATATTTTCTAAAAATATAATATTATTACATAAATTCGTTTTGTTATATAATAAATTATTAAAACATGAACATAAGCAGAATAACCTAAAATCATGGAGAAGTTGACAACTAAGCAAATTTACTTCTCAAATAATGTTATAGATTTGAAAGTAAAAAAAAAGAGCGACAAAAAGGAAGCCCTAGTTTATGTCACATTATTATCTTTAAGACGAATCCACAACAAAAAAACGAATATAAACACGATACAGCTTATATATTACGAAGCCGTAGCTAGTTTATTGGAAAGCCCTAGCTAGTGAATCATGGAATCTAGGTCAAGAGATGCAATTAGCTCTCTTCCAGATGATATACTTACTCATATCTTGTCCTTCCTCCCAACGAAACGAGCTGTTTTCACATCAATCCTCTCCAAAAGATGGAGGTATCTGTTCACAATGATGACGCATCTCCGATTCGACGATACAGATTATCTTTACCCCAAGGTAACAAAAGACCGTAAAGACCATGCTCGGGAGACTTTTAGGGCTCTCGTTGACACAACACTGTCTTTACAACAACAAGAAGATGTTAAAGCCCTTTCTCGAAAACAAAAGAAAAAGAAAAGAAAACAATACGAAAGTGTTAATTATAACAATAAGTGGTTAAAGAAATTCACATTGATATGTGAAGATGATATTAACCACTTTGAAGCTCATACCCATCGATGGATATCGGATGCCGTGAAACGAGGCATGCATCTCTGATCTTGATCTGCGCATTACAATGACCTCCAATGAACGTGGGATATTTTATCATCACGATGAGACTTTAGTCAAGTGCCCTATTCCTTTCGATGTCTTCACAAGCAAGACACTGGTCAAGCTTACGTTAGGAACAGGACTTTGTATTGTGAAACAGGAAGTTTATCTTCCGGTGCTAAAGAGTCTCTTCCTCTATACGGTTAACTTTGAAGATGGAGACTTCTCCCACTTGGTTCTTCGTGGTTGTCCTGTACTTGAGGAATTATACATTCATCGGGGAGGACCTCACAACTTGTGTCACCCAACCATCAAGAGAATAACAATACATCGGTCAGAAACTCACAACTTCAACACACCAAATCTTGTCTACCTAGACTACTCTGACAGACTTGTTAACTCTGGCCATTTTTCCGCCAATTTCCTTGATTCTCTTCTTGAAGCCCGTCTCGATCTTTTTCTGCCAAAGGATTATTCGTCTGAACCTTGGAAAGTCATTACTTGTATATGCAATGTTCAAATCCTTCACCTCTCTTCTAACACTGTTGAGGTATGTGTATCTTGTTCCTTTCATGACCAATTTTGTTTTTTGTTTCACTCATGACCACTTTGTGTTTGTGTGTTGCAGTTGATGCTGAAATGCTTTGATCACTGGGATAGCAACGGTGGATTTCCTTTTTTTAGAAACCTAGTTAAACTATCTTTTGATTGTAAAACCAAAAAGGGTTGGAAAGTTCTTTGGAGCCTCATCAATAACTCTCCAAAGCTAGAAACTTTGATTCTCAAGGTACATATTTATGATCTCTCTGATGAATTCTAATAAATAATTATTCTAGAATTTCACATTACGATATGCTTTTTCTATATTTCGTTTCAGGGCCCTTTTTGTTCTATAAGAAGAAGTTGCGAGGATAGCATTGAAGGAAATGTACTGAAGGAGCTAAAGATTTGTGGGTATGAAGGAACCAGAAGAGAACTTTTCCAAGTGCAACGTTTCTTGTTGGAACTTAAGTTTCTTCAAGTAATGAAAGTGGAAGTTGGTGCTAAGAAGATAGATGATGACAAGAAGTTGAAACTCACCAAAGACCTTCTTGTTCTCCCTAAACTTTCCACTACAAGAAAACACGTCCTTTACTAGGACGGGTTTTCCTCGTTATTTTCTAGTAAAGGGCCCTTTACTAGGAAATAGCGAGGAAACGTGTTTCGTCGAAAGACGTTCATCGTAAAGGCTATTTTCCTCGTAAAGGCCTAGCTAATTTACGAGGAAAGTTTTCCTCGTAAAGCCGTGGAAAACCTTTCCTCGTAAGCTCCACGTAGACTTTCCTCGTAAGGGCGTAGTAAAGTACTTCCTCGTAAACTCGTAGTAGACGCTTTACGAGGAGTTTGCTAGGAAAGTTTACGAGGAATTTACCTCGAAACCTTTACGAGGATTTTACTTCGAAACTATTTTTTCCTATTAAAAAAAAATAATTATAAATTAAAATTATATATATTTAAAAAAATTAAAAAAATAAATNAGTTGCGGGTTTGTTAGCGCCACAACGTCGAGGATACCCGTGAGCGTACGCACATGAGACTGCGTCGCCTGCAACTCCGTCTGCGTCGTCTGCAACTCCGTCCGTAGGTGCGCATTGTCATCGGCTTGTTGGTGAACATAAGCCGATGTCGCTGCGGGGACATCGTTAACCGAGCCAATCCCGATAACACGGCCTTTTTTCCTCGGAACGACCTGTAAATTAAAATATTAATAATCGAAGCAATAAAATTAAAGAAATAATAAAAATTAATATATTAAAATTATTTACCTCCTCGTAAATCTTATCCACTTCAAGAGTGGATAAAACGACCGGAGCCCCAGTCTGCTGAGTCAACTGGGTCTGGCGCTCGTCAACTCGGGCAGCAACCTCGTTATAGATCCGCTCGGAAGCAGGATCTACAAACTGCCCACTCTTCCTCCGGTGGGTCCGCTCGTAAAGGTCTTTCAGAGACGGAAGAACTCCCGTCTCTTTAGCCTGCATTTTTTTAAAAATTAAATATTAATTTAGAATATTAGAATATTAAAATAAAGTAAAAATTTTATAGTTATAAAATAATACGTACCATGTCTAGA